TAACACAAATAATATACTAATAACACTTCTGCTAACATAAATACATAAATACTATACTACTAACATTACTCTTAAAACAAATAATATGCTACTAACACTACTGCCAACACAAATACTATACTACTAACTCTACTGCTAACACAAATACTATACTACTAACTCTACTGCTAACATAAACACTATACTACTAACACTACTGCTAACATAAATACTATACTACTAACACTACTCTTAAAACAAATAATATGCTACAAACACTACTGCCAACACAAATACTATACTACTAACACTGCTGTTAACACAAATACTATACTACTAACACTACTGCTAACACAAATAATATCCTACTAACACTACTGCTAACATAAATACTATACTACTAACACTACTGCTAACACAAATAATATACTACTAACACTACTGCTAACATAAATACTATACTACTAACACTACTGCTAACATAAACACTATACTACTAACACTACTGCCAACACAAATACTATACTACTAACACTACTGTTAACACAAATACTATACTACTAACACTACTGCTAACACAAATAATATACTACTAACACTACTGCTAACATAAATACTATAATACTAACACTACTCTTAACACAAATAATATGCTACTAACACTACTGCCAACACAAATACTATACTACTAACCCTACTGCTAACATAAATACTATACTACTAACACTATTGCTAACATAAATACTATACTACAAACACTACTCCTAACACAAATACTATACTACAAACACTACTTCTAACATAAGTAATATACTACTAACACTACTGCTAACATAAATACTATACTACTAACACTACTGCTAACACAAATACTATACTACTAACACTACTGCTAACATAAATAATATACTACTAACACTACTGCTAACACAAATACTATATTACTAACACTACTTCTAACACAAATATTATACTACTAACACTACTTCTAACACAAATACTATACTACTAACACTACTTCTAACACAAATACTATACTACTAACACTACTGCTAACATAAATACTATACTACTAACACTACTGCTAACATAAATACTATACTACTAACACTACTGCTAACACAAATGCTATACTACTGACACTACTTCTAACATAAATAATGTACTACTAACACTACTGCTATCATAAATACTATACTACTAACACTACTCTTAACACAAGTACTATACTACTAACGCTACTGCTAACATAAATATGATACTACTAACACTACTGCTAACACAAGTACTATACTACTAACACTACTCTTAACACAAGTACTATATTACTTACTCTACTGCTAACACAAATACTATACTACTAACACTACTTCTAACACAAATACTATACTACTAACACTACTGCTAAAATGAATACTATACTACTTACACTACTGCTAACACAAATACTATACTACTAACTATACTACTAACGCTACTGCTAACATAAATACTATACTACTAACACCACTGCTAATACAAATGCTATACTATTAACACTACTTCTAACATAAATAACATACTACTAACACTACTGCTAACATAAATTCTATACTATTAACACTACTCTTAACACAAGTACTATACTACTAACACTACTGCTAGCATAAATACTATACTACTAACACTACTGCTAACATAAACACTATACTACTTACACTACTGCCAACACAAATACTATACTACTAACACTACTGCTAAAATGAATACTATACTACTTACACTACTGCTAACACAAATAATATACTAATAACACTTCTGCTAACATAAATACATAAATACTATACTACTAACACTACTCTTAACACAAGTACTATATACTTACTCTACTGCTAACACAAATACTATACTACTAACACTACTGCTAAAATGAATACTATACTACTTACACTACTGCTAACACAAATACTATACTACTAACTATACTACTAACGCTACTGCTAACATAAATATGATACTACTAACACTACTGCTAACACAAGTACTATACTACTAACACTACTCTTAACACAAGTACTATATTACTTACTCTACTGCCAACACAAATACTATACTACTAACACTACTGCTAAAATGAATACTATACTACTTACACTACTGCTAACACAAATACTATACTACTAACTATACTACTAACGCTACTGCTAACATAAATATGATACTACTAACACTACTGCTAACACAAGTACTATACTACTAACACTATTGCTGACACAAATAATATACTACTAACACTACTGCTAACACAAATACTATATTACTAACACTACTTCTAACACAAATATTATACTACTAACACTACTTCTAACACAAATACTATACTACTAACACTACTGCTAAAATGAATACTATACTACTTACACTACTGCTAACACAAATAATATACTAATAACACTTCTGCTAACATAAATACATAAATACTATACTACTAACACTACTCTTAAAACAAATAATATGCTACTAACACTACTGCCAACACAAATACTATACTACTAACACTACTGCTAACATGAATACTATACTACTAACGCTACTGCTAACATAAATATGATACTACTAACACTACTGCTAACACAAGTACTATACTACTAACACTATTGCTGACACAAATAATATACTACTAACACTACTGCTAACACAAATACTATACTACTAACTATACTACTAACGCTACTGCTAACATAAATACTATACTACTTACACTACTGCTAACACAAATACTATACTACTAACTATACTACTAACGCTACTGCTAACATAAATATGATACTACTAACACTACTGCTAACACAAGTACTATACTACTAACACTATTGCTAACACAAATAATATACTACTAACACTACTGCTAACATATATACTATTCTACTAACACTACTGCTAACATGAATACTATACTACTAACACTACTGCTAACATAAATACATAAATATTATACTACTTACACTGCTGCTAACATGAATACGATACTACTAACACTACTGCTAACACAAATACTATACTACTAACACTACTTTTAACATAAATACTATACTACTAACACTACTGCTAACATAAATACTATACTACTAACACTACTGCTAATACAAATGCTATACTACTAACACTACTGCTAACATAAATAATATACTACTAACACTACTCTTAACACAAGTACTATACTACAAACGCTACTGCTAACATAATTACTATACTACTAACACGACTGCTAACACAAATACTATACTACTAACGCTACTGCTTACATAAATACTATACTACTAACACTACTCTTAACACAAATACTATACTACTTACACTATTGCTAACACAAATAATATACTACTAACACTACTGCTAACATAAATACATAAATACTATACTACTAACACTACTCATAACACAAATAATATGCTACTAAAACTACTGCCAACACAAATACTATACTACTAACACTACTGCCAACACAAATACTATACTACTGACACTACTGCTAACATAAATACATAAATACTATACTACTAAGACTACTTTTAACTTAAATACTCTACTACTGTACTAACACTACAGCTAACATAAATACTATAATACTAACACTACTGCCAACACAAATACTATACTACTAACACTACTGCTAACATGAATACTATACTACTAACGCTACTGCTAACATAAATACTATACTACTTACTCTACTGCTTACACAAATACTATACTACTAACACTACTCTTCACACAAATACTATACTACTTACAATACTTCTAACACAAATACTATACTGCTAACACTACTGCTAACACAAAGACTATACTACTAACACTACTTCTAACATAAATAATGTACTACTAACACTACTGCTAACATAAATACCATAAAACTAACACTACTGCTAACATAAATACATAAATACTATATTACTAACACTACTGCTAACACAAATACTATACTACTAACACTACTGCTAACATAAATACTATACTACTTACACTACTTCTAACACAAATACTATATTACTTACTTTTTTAATCAATGAAATCTTCCCTACACTGGATAACTTTTCAATATCTCTACTGATGAAGGCATCTGATGTTCAGCCATCATGACCTCTGTAAAATTGTTATTATGTTGCCTCTATGTTAATGGCCTATGGACAGGCACACACGCAACTACTTATAAATGTATGTATAAAACCAATTTCAATAATGTTTTTGGTAGGAAGATTATAGAGTGTTATGATAATCCAGATCCACACTTGAAGAAGAGGATGAAAAAACAAATTGCTATCACTGATATTTCTACTAAATGCAAACCCATACATCTGTATATGATAGTCATATGACGATTTCTGTCGGCTTGACATAGATGGCGACTCAGATAACACGTTGGGAAATGATTCAGAAAATGAAATATCTAGAACTTATATGTTCATATAAGTATATCACTATCTAGTATACTAAATAACTAACACATACGGGTACTTGTACACGTATCAAGTAATCGTACACTCTGACATAATTTGATATATTTTTAATGATTTCCGATTTTCTAAGACAGAACCATATGACAACAAAAATATTAGATGATTGAATATTTAAAAATTTCAACATTCTCTGCACCTTTAAATAGTCGCTATAGTGACCAATATCAACAGCTGATATAAAAAACAAAAAATCAGACAATCGATTTTCAGATGCGGTTACACTACTGTAGTATGAAAGGTTTAAGATTGATATACCGGTGGGTTACCTCTCTCAAGGAGTATTGCACTGGTATTTATTGACTGTTTATGTCAGGAGAATAAGTATACAGCAGTTACACTGCAGGCTAGAGATAAAGGAATGTCTGTTAAAAAACCCAGAGTAGATACGTATCTATACCTGGCATGATATAAACACCCTCTTCCCATATTTATAAGGCTTCATTGGGATAATGAGGAATAAGGAGGGGATTTTATGCCAGATTCAAATTTACTGTTTCTATAAATAGACACTTTTAATACAAATACCACGTATTTTATGTAAAGGCGTAAATTGTATCCTACTTTTCATTTCTCCGTTTTATTTCAGGTTTGTAGGACGTCAGGTGACTGCTGCTAGATAAACTGGTAAGATTTTTATGATTTTTATACGCCTTTGTGAATTAATGAAAAGACATTTGAATACGATAGTTAAGTGAATATTAAAGTAATCAGAGGCGAAAGTATACCAGTTTATTGTACGAGCATTTACCCCGTTAAACTGTGTAGTATTCAACATGAGTACCTACCTCGTCACACTCGTATATGTAACTACTAAATTCTCTATCGGAATTGATAGATTAGATGCACCGAACCAGTCTCTAAACATAACACTAATAAATTTGTATTTAGATTTTGATGATGTATTTAACTAGAGGCATACATTTCTTAAAATGCTGATTTCGGAAGTAACCTTCACCAGTTATACAACTGACTTTCTTGTTACGTAATGACACTGTTTACAAGCCAAAGTACTGGAATTTACCGACACTTTAAATAGACGCAGTGAGCAAGGATTCCCATAACTATAAATAGATACATGCAAAACACTGGAATTTACCAGTTCTAAATATTTCGTAATAGTTGATTTGTTATTTAAAAGACATCTAACGTATTAGTTTTGGGTACGGTTGATAAATGGACCCAGTGTAAATAGGGTCTAATCAGGTAGTGATCAAAGATCCAGTGTACTTATGACGAATTCTTTATTCTTGGAAGGGGAGGGGGTCATTTTTTTTTTGCCAGGGTTGGGTGCCCAGGGGTTCATCCCTCTTACATCATGTAGACTCACAAAGGCGACCCATTACCTTCATTCACTCTCTCTTTCATTTCTTCTCTCATGCTACCATTCATTTAATCTTTCATTATCATTTTTTCTTATATCATAATTTAATTTATTCAAAATCAGATATCGGATCCAACAAACAATTCCAACAAAAATCCTACTTTATTGATTTTGAATTGCTTTTGATTTCTTACATTTAGACCAAATAAACCTAATAAATGTTATTGAAAGTAATGAATATGAAATTTGGAATCACACAGAAAGTTTCTATTGGGAACTAAAAATATACAAATATGAATGTATCTACCAATTCAAACCTATATACATATACGGAAAACATAAACGGTATGAAAGGTCATTGAAATATTAATCAAACAAGAAAGTGAACTTACATACTTATATCACATTATGTATTCATACAAGAACTTATCACATAATAAAGACATCATAAATAATACAAGATTCATACATACAACAATCATAATTCTAAACACATATACTCACATACAGGTACAAACTACATACGCATCACATAAGTACATTTTACACGGATGTGCACTTGCTATCTCTTTTTTAATTTAAAATTTAAGAGATACCACTTTAGGATGAACTATGCTTTCAATCTGGCGTTGTTGAATAATTCGACTTTTTCCACCACTGACAGATGATTGAATATTTTTTAATCGACATGTACAGATATAATACTTTTAAATCAGTATGAGGTAGTTAGTAATAGGTAGACCCTTTTCACCGAAAAAAAACACATTTTGATATACATCTGGAAAAAACGGGGTCATTGCGGTTTAGGTTTTTCAAACAAGCCATTGGATAATTCTATATTCTATATTATTTACAGTAAATAAAAGCATTCAGAAACGTACATACATTTAGATTTTCATCGATAACGTTAGTTTGACAAAGAGAAATTGTGTTTTGCTATTTTACTATGAAGAATCTTAACTTGTAGATTTTGAAGTTTTAGTGAGCAAATATTGCTTTATAAACATTTCTGGGATCATTAGTTTAAAGTTATCTTTAAAAAATACTGTTTTCTGATTGATTGTTCATCAATGATTGTTGTTGTATTATGTTAAATTTTCTTTTGGAATGTTGTCTATATATGCAAACTATTTAGTCTTAACATCATTAAATGACAGAACAATGCTAACTATTGTCTTAAAAGAACATTGATTCTTCATTAATATCATCTTTACATTCTTTCTATGCATAATATCTTGCCAGAATGCATGAATAATTTTTTGTTCATTTTTGACTTTTGCAGATTTCCCCACCTTTCCCACTACATTTACTCAAATTTGATTTTGTGTAACGTTGCCAGTCCCCATTTTAATCACATAAGCTTTTAAATAACTTAATGTTCAAATATTTCATAAAAATCTCAATGTGAATTACTATTATCAAATATACGTAAGTATTTGATGTTAGAGATACATTGATACGTTTGGGATATCTATTAGAAATATAATGTCTTATCAAGGTATTGATACACGTGCTTGTGATTAAGACTTTTTTCATAGTATGAATTGAATACATTTTGTACGTATTGCCAATAGAGACATATCTGTCTATTCATTTGATTAAAGCAGGCACGAATAGTGTTTCAATACGAGGTTGAATTTCAGACATTAAACTCAAAGAGGTCATTTTATTTTTTCAGAAGTTATGGCCTCCTGTTATGTAGATCCTCACAATTCAACAATCCTGAAAACCCTAAAGATCGGGGATTTGGTGGAGTTTCCAAGAATGCTGTATTCACACTGGGGTGTTTATATAGGTAAGGCATGCTCGACCATTACTAGTATGGTAATGTAGCATCGTTAGGTAAAGAAACACGATTGTGTGACAATATCATACTTTTCCAACAAGGTTTCAAATTGAACGTATCTATTCGTAGATTTCAAACGTTTACTTTTTTTCTTTCACATATAACCTTTTTATTCTAAAAATGATAGTTTGTTTCCGTTCCAGAACGTAAATTTAAAGATGTGGTACATTGTAACGAGTTACGATGAAGGTCATAAACGAGTATTGCGTTTTAACAGTCTAGGCTTTATTAATATTGTTATCGCTTAGACTAATATTAATGAACTTGTAAGTCACTCTTTTCCAAGCTTTCGGGCTTAGCCCTTCGTCAGGGATTAAATGTCACTGGACCTCTATGTCACATCCATCTCAATATTTTGTGACATCTTAAGATGGATGTGACATAGAGGTCCAGTGACATTTAATCTCATTTACGTTCTCTATAGGAACATATGTTTATAGACAATTAGGCTTAGACTAATGTTTTCTGCTTAATATTTCAATTAGGTAACCAACAAATAGTACATTTGACTGGCATTGACAATGCAGGTAGTAAGGACGCCTTCACTTCGGGTAGCCTGTTTTCAGTTTGTGGGGAGAACTTCGCAAAAGCCTGTGTGAAGATTGATGATTTCTTCAAAGTTGCTCAGGGATGCAAAGCAAAACGAAATAATGACAAGGATGCTAAATGCAAGTATGTAATGTATTACTGCATGTAAAAGTGTATACTAATTGTATCATATATAGGTGAATTCACATTAGTTACCATATTGTCGTATATAAAAGGTGTAAGGGTTGTTATGTTTTTGTGATGGTCTGTCGTGCCAATTAACGGAATATCTAACATGGAACGGTAGAACATACATACACTGTATCGTTGTAAAACGTTTGGAGCATATTCTGTGTATACCCTTATCTATCACATCGACATGTTTTGTCATTCCTTTGTGAATAAACTGTGTCACCCTTTTGGTCGACATGTTTTGTCCTCATATGAGGCTGAAGTTATCAAAGAGACTATCAAGACTGACATGTTAGTCCTGCTATTTGACATTGGGAAATATCGACATTGACATATCACATGACAGATGTGACGATTCCGATTTTCCTACCATGCAATTTTACCTTTCTTGATTGTAAGATACCCGCTTCCCAACCATCTGGGTTTGTATGTTGCAGTTGATAAGGTATTCAAAAACTTGCTCCGAATATAGTGATTCCGTAATAGATGTTGATTTAGAATGGACAAGATCACACCATTGGGTTTCAAAATATACAAGTTGATGACGGCTAGAAACAAGTTCTATGGTGGCTATCATGATCTTATTCGGAATATCATATTTTCTTTTTGTGATATGGAGGAAGACATTATTGATTATGATCATTAGTGTGCCTTGTTGTTTCGTTGTTACATGTCAAGTTTTCTCAATGTCAAACTTTGTGAGATTCATTTATCACGCAACTGTCCAAAAATCATAAACACCGCAAAGCAACACGTTCGTAAGATTCTAATAAATAACCTTTCACAGCATGAAATGTATGTCATAATGCCAAACATTAAGTTATTCCAATAATTTCGTTACTCAAATACGTGCTTTAAAAAACATCACACTTTGCTGACGTCAAACACTCGTTTAATTTCAAATACATATATTGAAATTGCTTTTGAATTACAGATGTAACGCCGCATTGTATGCAGAGATATGCTCCCATTCTTCAAATATTTTAAGAAAATATATGCATACTTGTTCTTGCAGACCGCTAAATCCACAGGAGATCGTAAGGAGAGCAAAGGCAATGGTTGGAGTGATCGGCTACAATTTGATCTGGAATAATTGTGAACATTTAGCTGCCTATCTTAGATATGATGTCAAGTGGTCGGAACAGGTAAATTTTAATGCATATATTCTTCACGTTGAATTAGTACATGTATATGGTGTGGGTACTTAAGATATACTAACCTATGTAAAAAGTACAAAAGTTACATAAACTTATAACCGAATACACACTGACAAATTCTGTCAAAGTTTGACAACCAATCAATTTTCTCGATTAATATCTATTTGTTTAAGTAATAAAAATTATCCGCCTTGTACATGGAATGTCTTTTTTTATAACTTACTTACTTTTTTGCACTCTATTTTAACGGTAATATTACAAATAAATAACTCATTTTTGCCATTATTTAATATATAGGCATGTTGTAGTACACATTTGTTTAAGACATAATCGTTGTGACTATGTTCATGCAGCATGATTGAACTGGTGTTACCTTGTCGTTGTTAGCTCTCACAATATAATAGACACACATCATGTTTACTTAATATTGTTATGTTTTATCCTACAAAGCTACCATCACTTCCCATCTGTTTAAAATTAGATAATCGACGATGAATGAAATTATCTGTTTGCTGAGTTTGACAGCTGTGATGTTTTACCAACATAATTTATCATTCAATCATTCTACCACGTTTGCGATGTAACGACACTTCTCATCGGCTAATAACCATGGAATATTGGATGATAGACTTTGAGCGTGCGTGTATTATTATCCAACAGACCAACGCTCTTCCAAAAACTAAGTGTTCCAATAACCAACCGCGAATGTGTCTGTCAAATGCTGATTTCATGTGTTTACGAGCGATGTGGATTGATTGGTGGATTTGGTTGGTGGAAATAAACATCTGGCATAAAGCCGTGTTTATCACAGGCGTGTGCATGCTTAGGTGGGCAAGAATAATAACTTCGTTACATTTTACTTGGTAGAATAGATTCATTATAATCAACACATATGCATATCTTATTTAGGAACATATGACTCGTGATTCGAATATGTTGGAAAAAATAATCAACTCAGGCCGCAAGCGGCATTCGTTATTTTTTCAATATTTTCTCATCCTAGTTATTTGTTCCACCATAATACACGAACATACGTTGATTATTTCTTAAATAAACATGTTATTGATTCCAGGTCGATAAAGCAGCAGAAGCAGCCGTGTGGACTGGTGCTTTAGCAGCCGTCAGTTTGTTGGCTTACAATTTATTTGGAGGTTCAAATGACAAGAAGTAATCAGCGAAACAAAGTCCCAGCGATCGTGGATTATTATTGTTTTTTCGCAAAGAAGAAAAGAAACAGTGATATCAAAACTAAACTATGTGTGGTCACATCCAAAATGATGTTTTGATCAATTCCTCAAGCAGAGTTGATCATAATAGACTTCTGTGTTTGATAATTTGTCAATCAATCTAAAATATTATATTTCTACTAAAGAAAATATTCTACCTGATTTTAAAATGTACATCATATTTTTTTCCAAATAGATAATTGATTAAAAGTACCAAATATAGAAATAATATCAGTAGTTATGAAAGATATGTCCTGTGATTATCTCTAGCATAGTATAATGATTACATATTATCTTGGCAGTTCATCCTAAAACAGCAGACGAATGACTTATACACACTTGGGTAAACACGTTATTATCAAACGACTACTTTTTTGTAATTCAGTCTAGAATGATTTTTAATAAACTTCAAACATCTTCATTAAATGTTGTCATAGTCATTATTGTCTATTCAAAGAAACATATAAGATTAAACTTTTGTCAAGCAAGCTGAAAAATACAGCTGGGGTGACGATTCTTTTACTTAATGCTTTTACCGAAGACTTGGTTTAACCGACATGAGAAAGTGTATTACTATGATATAAGCAGTATGGTTATAACGGAACTAATTGCCCCAATGTAAACACGTAAGGAAATATCTCGGAGAGTGAAGTATCTATTATTTATATAAATATATTAGAATACTATTATTCATAATTAATGTCAATTAACTGACGTATTAGGATACAAGCGTATTGCATTCATACCAACTGATCAATTTGGATACTAGTGTCTTGTATTTGTGATAACTGACATATTAGGATACTACAGTTCAGTATTCATAATAACTGACATATTATTATCTAGTGTTAAGTATCCATACTGACTGACATATTTGGGTACTAATATAAAGAATTCATAATAACTGACATATTACGATACTAGTGTCTAGTATTCATAATAACTGACATATTACGCTACTAGCATCTAGTATTAATACTAACAGACAAATTACGATACTAGTATCTAGTATTCATATTAACTGACATATTAATAATAATAATATACAACATTTTGACATAGCGCCCTATCTACCTAGAATAAGCCACTTTAAAGAACTTTACAGTAAATAGATATATAATTAGCATATACATTAATTAACCAATACAACTTTGGGGGATTCGCAGGTGCTGCCTTATCAGGCGCTTACTACTACATGTAGTCCTATGCCATCTGGCTAATATATCCCTATGTGTATATGCCTGCGTGTGTCCTGGAGATGTATTTTTTTTCTGTTTGTAGTGGGACCGTGCTTCCAACGCTATCATTTATAGTGCCACCTCACTTGAATGCTACAGCATAGATACCGTAACATCTACCCAATGACAATTTTATGCTCCGCCTAGGTTGCTGGAGTTGTGTGGCCAGAGGAAAACACTTTCTCTGAATATACCATGCTTATGAAGACTTCGGGATCGAACCCCGGCCGCCTGAATGGAAGGCCGGACTGTTTACTAATCGACTCATCCGCCAATGATTCGGATACATGTTTCTATAATTCGTTATTACTGATATATTAGGATACTAGTATCTAATATTCATTATAACTGACGAATAAGGATACTAGTATCTAGTATTAATAACAAATTACGTGTTATGATACAAGCGTAAAATATTCATAATAACTGATAAATTTGGATAGTAGTTTTTTTTTCGTAATAACTGATTTAGAAGGATACTACCGTTTAGGATTCATAATAACTGACATCTTAGGATCTAGTGTTTAGTATTCATACTGACTGACATATTACAGTTGTTGGATTGCACAACGGTACACGATGTGCAGTGTGCGCACGATGTGTGCACGGTGTGTGAACGACGTGTGCACGAAGTGCGAACGATACAAAATTAGACGATCATTGCTTGCGCACATTTGTGCGGACGATGGACGAACGTTGTGCGATAACAATCGTGGATGGTGTAAATTGAGGAATGTCTTAACAATATATACGGTTTTATGTATGTGTTTAAACACATATACTTGATTATTTAGTATGCTTCTATATTCTAGCTACATTGTACATCTATAATCTTATCATTCTGTCTATACTTTCTTAAATTTAGAAATGGTGTTTTCGGTGTTTTTAAACAACCTAAATCGACACATGTAAAATTACAACACAGTCTCGGCAATACAGGTAAACATAGCCACTTTGTAATTGTACCTGGACCGTAGTTATCCTCCGCCCGGGGCATTTACATAACTCGCCAAGGAGTGAAAATCAGGTGAAGGGGAGCTATATACCAAAATGAATGCAAATAACAAATACTAAATGATGAATAGGAAATGGGGGTTCCGCGCCACTTTATCCCTCCCTCTTTATTTATAATAAATCCCTCCCTATCGGAATGGATCAGTGAGGGACCGTATAAAAACCTTTAAGGATTGGCCACAAAAGTGCATCAGACTCAAAACCAGCTTGCTCTTAACGGGTTTTTCTATTCAGGACAAAGTCACCTGTTTCATATGCGGAGTACATTTAAGCTCATGAACAGCCTACGATTGTGAAGAAATCGAACATAAAAGGTCGTCGAAAGATTGCATATCATTACAAATGGTGATACCGTAGAGTTTATGCAGATTCATTTTTGAAGAACCTCATACCATATTAACAATTTTATGACATGGTAGTAGGCCTTCCGCGATTGTTAAGGTAATCATAGTGGTTGTTTGCTGTGTATATATTACAAGGTACAGCATTGCGATAATGAGAAGCTGATCGAGAGAGGTTGGTCGTACGACTGGCATGAAATAAAAACACGAACACATAATCGAATTAGTGAGGATATTAAAAGATCTTTGGAAAGAAAATCAATTATCCTATGATGATTCACTGCTTGATTTATTTATCATGTTTAAAGAGCACATAGGCGTTGATGTTTCTGTATAATTCACGATGAAAAAGCATATCGAGGAGAAAGCCTATGTTTTGCAATACAATTTTTTTACAATTCAAAAGTCCAAACACATATCATTGTAAATTAAAATTTTAACGTCGAGAGATAACACCAGATTAAAAGGAAATGTCTGTATTTAGCAATATGTGGTCTTTCATACTAACAGTAGGTGATGTAAAGTTAGCGATGACTTACAATGAACTCGTAAGGTCTCATAGGTGTCAAAACAACCTTAACAAAGAGTCGACATTGGGTGTATATATATGGAGATTACACATATGGCTCAATGGACTATTAATCGCATAGTCAACAAAAAAAACTCCCTCTGACAAACAAACCACACAGTATATTGTTGTCTAGGTATTAAGCAACTCTTTCCATCAAGAAGAATAGGCATGATATTTAAGAATGGGAGGAGGGATAAAACGAATTAAAAGGGCCGCAAGAAGTGCAGCATGTGCCACAAAAAGGTCCGCAGGTTCCGGAAGTGTATATAGTCCCTCACTTATACTTATAGTTACGACTTATACGTAATCATAAACTTAACGACCTGGTCACTAAGTGGGTCAATCCCTCGTCCCTCACTGACCTGGTCACTAAGTGGGTCAGTCCCTCGTTCCTCACTGGTCCCTCACTGATCCATCCCGATGGGGAGGGATTTACTATATATAAAGATGGAGGGATAAAGTGGCCCAGAACCCCCATTTCCTATTCATCAACTAAACATCCTGTTGTGTTTTGCACCTCTATGTGTTAGGCACATGCCAGGTAAAACTCCGGTCACTCATCAAATTGTTATTTACCTGTTCCGTTACCTAGGAGCTAAACCCATTCTTGACAGTCTAACGGTCACTATAACACTGTGTAACACGCATTGTAAAATTGTACTTAATCTTAACTATTGTGATGAGAAATTACAGTAATATATACAGTGTATCTTACTGCATACGAGCATTCCGTATTTTTTTCATTCCGTAATTTTGATCAATGAATTGTACAAAATATCACAGTTGTGTGGAGAGAAGCGCACAACGGGGAGAACGATTGTTAAATCGCAAAGTTGTGAGCACCATGTGTGGACGATGTGCGGACGGTGTGTGAGCGATGTATGCACGGTATGCGCATGGTATTTTTGGTGCGTTGTGCAGTCACACAACTGTAGAATACTAGCGTCCAATATTAATACTAACTGACATATTAGGATACTAGCGTCTAGTGTTAATGATAACTGACATATTAGGATACTAGAGTTAAGTTTTCACAAAAACTGACAGATTAGGATACAAGCGTTAAGTATTCATACCGACTGACACATTAGGAAACTGGTATGTAGTTTTTATACTGACTGACATATTTAGTTATTATTATAATCGATGTCTATACATAAATACAGTTTAAGAAGAATATGCTTACTCTGGCACGTTATTACGTACTGATTAATGTTAACGATCTTACTTACTGACACACTGGATATTCTAACAGACAATACATGTTAATGATCTTACTTACTGACACACTGGATGATCTTACTGACACACTGGATGATCTTACTTACTGACACACTGGATGATCTTACTTACTGACACACTGGATGATCTTACTTACTGACACACTGGATGATCTTACTTACTGACACACTGGATGATCTTACTTACTGACACACTGGATGATCTTACTTACTGACACACTGGATGATCTTACTTACTGACACACTGGATGATCTTACTTACTGACACACTGGATGATCTTACTTACTGACACACTGGATGATCTTACTTACTGACACACTGGATGCTCTTACTTACTGACACACTGGATATTCTAATGTCACACACAATAAATGCTAGAGTTAACGTTACATGTAAAAGTGGTACAAAACCCTCTTCGCCAACATACAACCACGTCACAGCCATGTTATCAGCTACGAGACATCCAGATGCAGGTTTTCTTGATCCAGAGACCTTTGATTACTTTCCACATGATATGCCAATTAAGAATTCAGTCGACAATAGCGTAATTATTACTTTTCCCTCTACTAATACCCTAACTGACCAGGAATGCACTTGATGTGTGATAGATTAGGCTGATTCTTTCCCCATAAATCTGCAGGGGTACCTCCATATGTGACTATCTGTCTTACCGTGTTCGTATCTATGCACAGTCCTCAAATGTCAACAATAAACTTTGAAGTAATATTCAATAACTTATAAACGTTTGCATTGATGCTTTTTTCTATACAAATGTAATTTCTGACTTGTTAGGGCATTTGATGACTTTACCACATCTCTCTCATTGCTCTTTGGCAAATGTAAAACCAGATCAAACACATTGATAAATTAATACATTAAACAAGGACACCCACATGCAAAATTACACGCTGTGGTAGGACACACACAAAGAAAATATGCACACTGAGAGAGGACACCCACATGTAAAATATGCACACTAAACCAGGCCATCCCCGTTTTAGAGTACCGCATAGGGGCGGCTTTACGTATATGACTTTTAGTGTTTAATATACATGTCCTATGTACAGTTTTTAAATGAAATTAAGAATAAAAAATGTTATAATTGAATTTAAGCAAGAACCATTACTTGCAAATATTTTCTAGTCGGCAACTTTTCAATAATGACGGAAATTATGACGAATGGTTAGCGATTGATATTCTTCACCTTACGGAAATGGTAGCCATAGAAAACACGATGTGGTTCCCGCAAAAATAGCTGGTCAGCATTAGGTAAAATAGTTTGTTAAAAGTATTTTGAACCGAATGACACCACACACAACAATATACTTGGCAATGTTATTGTTGTTGTGAACGTGGATATACGGATAGATACATCTTTGTAGCATGCATGATGGTATTCAACACTGTTACGTTCAGCGACTTTGAGATAATGTGTCAACGGAACTGCATGACATGTGTAATGCAAATACCACACCTTTTGATCTTTTCTATTGAAGCAAAAGCTTTGATCTTTGATCTTTTGATCTTTTCTATTGAAGTAAAAACCAAATGTTCATTAATTCAATTGTATTGTCTTTTAAACAATACATCGCTAAAAAGAATTATTTTGTTTCTACATAAATGAAATACACGATAAGTAAAGCTTATTTGAAAAAAAACGAATGTTCAATAATTCAATTATATTGTCTTTTAAAACCTAAACGTGTTCCCCTCACATGATACACCAAACTGCCGTAGTGATTAGTGTGACCTTACGGGTTTTATCAAATCGGCGCAAACTATCACTAAGTAAATATACTCATCAATTGGTATACATTACGTGTTATGGCTTGATCACGTACATAATTTGTGGAAAAGATAATTTATATTTTTCTGTAGTGTATTCCCTTTGAAATAATTAATATTTAATGAAGCTACTTAATTCATAAAATACCACTTTTTCAATATTGCTTTGATGGCTGTGTCAGCATTAATATAATTGTTTGTCTTTAATTTTCGTTTTGTTTGTGACATGCGCGATAATGAAAATATATATTTGTGTCATTACTGTGGATCTATGTACAAAGATACTATTATGCATAGTGTACTCGAATGCTCACACACAGAGCTATTACGTGACCAGCTCTGGTGTGTACTCAGTACTGTAAAAGATATAGATTTTGTGTTTAATCTTAATGTAATGTCTAATTACCATCTACTTCATGTTCTTCTTGGTGGTATTTTCAATTATGACTTATCTCCATATGAACTGGAGGACTTTAGAATAAAATCCATTGTTATTATTACTAAAATTCTTCAATACAGTGGCATTATGTAATTTATCCTTAGATATTTGAATGTTGTATACTGAGTAATATGATCACTAATTTACTTGTGTGTACCTCACGCTTCAGCAAGATGAATACATGAAATACATATATTTTTGTATTCATATTAGTAGGCAAGCATTTCCTACGTCTTTCCTGTTGATTAGTGCAACTTACTACCATTCATAATATTGTTTGTATTGTATGAATTAATCTTGTGAGATGTATTACTACAACTGAAATCATTGTATGGTTGCGCTGTTTCTTCAAGTTAATTATTATATTGTATGTTGTGTATTTCACACCACTGTATGACTATGTTGTATGACTTCGTGCAACGGGTTCTACTCAATGTATGATTGTATTGTAAGACTTATGTAACAGTAATACTGTCTATAATAATGCTGTATAATTTATAGTGCGATGCTTGTAATACTGTTTATTACAATGTTGTATGATTGCTTAGTACGAGAAGTGGATTACTGTCTATACTATTATATGATAATGTAGTCTGAGGAGTGTAAATATGTCTATTATATCAATGTGTGATGTAATATATGATTAGTGTTATACTGTCTATCATCATAATTATCACCGTATAATGACTGTAATAGTACCTATTATATCATTGTGTTGTGTTTATAGTACTTTATGGTATGATGCGTGTACTATTATTATTCTCTTATGTGTGTGTCTGTCCATGTGCATGTGTGAGTCACTATGTCAGGGTGTGAGCATGATTGTGAATGCATTTTCTTCTCTTTTCAATAGTGTTTTGTTCGTTATTTCTGTAACTCTTCATTTCTGGAGGAAATAAAGGAAATAATAATAATAGCCTAATTTAAACATGCGAAACCGAAAGCAGGTATTCCCGATATCAATACTGAAAGAACACAGAAGCCAATATGGCCGACATGATACAACTGTTTGTTACGTCTGGAAGTAACAAGAAAACAACCTTTCAAATACACAAAGTAAGTACATGTATAACAAGTATATCATGTATTGTTACGTCAAATGACATATAGGGACTGCATATGTTGGTGAGAGCATTGAATTGTCTGTCGGTACAAAGAGATATCTTGTCATTTAAAGTCCACGGCTATAAACCTATGCACAATCTACTCATTATTTGGTTAACAAATCTATGTTAAAACACACTGAAAACACGAGAAATATAAGTTTCTGTATTTTCATTTTGGAATCGGAAATGAGTGGGTGAGTGTTTCCGTTCATTAAGATGTTACATTTATTGTGAAATCAAATGACAACAAACTATGACAGATTGAAATTACATATACTTTCACTAATACAGAAACTAAACTTCTATTTACCAGTTATTTCCACTTCTCTATTGGCTTGGTTAAGTCTACATACCAAATATACAATTCTACAGCTACATTATTTACATTTTGAATACATTTAATGTGAATTTTGCAATATTTTAGCACAGACCTGTAAAAGTATTTACTGTACGTTTTTACGGGTGTGTATAACAGATGTGTATACAATTCGTGTTAAAGGAGAAGATGGCATATGCCATCTTTTGTTGACGATTCCTTATTATGTAGTTACGTGATTAATGACACCCACTTGTTGACAGCTCGGAAGACTATTCCACTTATGTGTTTATATTATTGTAAAACATTGATAATCGATCTATCTTTCATTTTCGTTTTGTGTGTGACATCAGAACCTAATTTATACACGCAAAACTGAAAGTTGGTATTCCCGATATCAAAACTGAAAGTTGGTATTCCCGATATCAAAACTGAAAGAACACAGTAGCCAACACGGTCGATATGATATAACGATTCATTTTATCTGGAAGTACTAGATAACGACCTTTAATATACACATGGTGCGTACATGCATGACTTGCCTTAAACTTGGCACAGTCCCTTCGTTACAGTGTACATATTTTTTTTATTTGTCAATAAAATATTTACAACGATTAAACCGTCTGAAACAGAGGAGAGACATTGATTTTCATTTTAAAATCTGCATGAGTGTTAAGGTCCACATTTAGAAGTTCAATCGAGATGTTACTTTGATTAGCTATCAGATAGCAATACTATAATATGGCTTATAGTAACATAAACTTCCTAAACGCTGAAATTAAGCTCATATCTGCCATTTCGAAAAGTGGCTAATCTATTGATATATATGATTTTAGGTATCATTATATTTGTATAAGTTATCATTTACGCTATTATCCTTTAATTTCAAAAACAATTATTTAACTTTTCTTTGAATGTGCTCAAATTATTCCAATTATGCATTTCTAAAGAAAAATTGATGTTTCTAAATTGGTTTAATTTACAGTTTTAGCAAAACATTATCCATTTGTGTCGAACTGGTTCAAAATGTTAATCAGTAATTTCCATGACATTGCAGCATAATTGTCAGATTTGAATGAACATGAGTCTTAGTCGATAATATTTCACGAGACATCGTTCTTTAGTTAAATTACTAGAAGAAACTAGCATATTGAAATTCTCTAAGTCGTTGGTCGAACAGACGCGAAAATTTGAGTTTGTTTTGTTTTTTGTTTTATTTTGAAGGGGAATGCTCATTTAAGTTCAAATCCCTTTTTTCTCAAATTCACAATACAGGGTAGCTTGATACTTGCGAACAAGTTTTATCCTGATTCACAATCGGAACAGGCTAATGTTCCCAAATTAATTTTAGGATGCATCTGTAGAGGACCTAATGAGAAAAATCTCGGATTGGAATGGCATAGATTCGGCCAGTCAACGAGTCCTATTTGCAGGTAGAGTAAACAAGCACATTACATTTGAATTTCAACTTTGAAATACTTGTGAAATGTATGGACTGTGAAGTCATGAATGTATTTGATATTAAAAAATAATTAATTATAAAACTAAGTTACAAGTATGACTGGTGTACTGATACAATACATTGATATATAGAAACATACGGTTTGGAAGTAAAAACATTGATATATATAAGTATATATCACATTACCACCTAGACAAATACAATCGACAAGTAATAGAACCAACTCTTAATCATTAAACATTCATGTACAAATTAACCTTATTGTCTACAGCTAAAGAATTGGTGATGAATAAAGATGGGAAGAAGATGTATTTGTCGGATTATAAACTCCAGGACAGGTCGCAACTGTTTGTGGTGTTCCAACTTCCGGGGGGCAGTGACCCGGACCCATTGGAAGGCCAGGTCCGTCAACCAAAACAATTTGAGGATGCCGTTAAATTAACTGATCTTTCAGATATGATCACATGGGATGATGACCCAAACAATCAGCGTGCCAAAATGCCATGTGGTCATGCTATTGGTTAGTCACCAATACTGATACTCTTTTTTTACTGAAGTTTCGTTTTGCATCTCTAACATTTAGATAAGTAGGAGGCAGCAGTTAATTTGGAAAGCGACAATGTAATAATTAATCTGACTGATAACAAGTTTGTTACAAGTTTGTTGCTAATATGATAAATAAACCTAAATGTCCACAGGTCCAGAGTCCCTGACAGCGTATTGCAGAAGTTTGCTGACGACTGGAAAAAAGTCAGTTCCACTGTCCGTACATAGACAAGGAAAATTCAACATACTGTTGGCAAATTTGGGAATATTTCACAGTCAGACGTCTGGCTGGACTGACTAAAATGTCTCAAAACTACATGAGGAAATCCGCTGGAATCCAGGCGTGTCCCAAATGTACCATCTTCTGCATGAGGAAGAATTCCAAAGACAGGCGAGTTGTGTGTCTGTCGTGCAGCAAAGACGGTAAAATGTTCGAGTTCTGTTGGCATTGCCTCGCGCGGCGACTGAAAAACACCCGGCAGTACTAGCTGTGGGAATATTGCATGTACTGGAGAAGATCCGAGGTTTAAGATCCTGAAAGAGGCTTCACTGAAAAGCATCGTCGGCCTGATGGGTTGCCCGTCAATCCGAGCTTGTCAAAAGTGTGGCATTCTGATACAACATACAAATAATTCCAAGTATATGGTGTGTTTATGCGCTTCATTTGTCTCACAAAGGCAGGGACCGACGGCTTGTATCAATGAGGGACCTACAACAAACCCTGTAGTATCGCTCCAATCCAGAAGACGATTGTCGATTCAGATGATGATGATGCTGACAACGGTAGTTTTGAAGTGTGGACATATCGCCATTGGAAACGGGTTGATAGTGTGTCGATACGTCGTTTCCTTCTCCCTTTAGTATTTTCAACATTGAAAAACATATCAAGTTAGACCCTTGGAACTCGTTGTCTGTCAGCATGTTGATTATCTTTTCAAAGGCGGGGNACAAATGCCGATTTGCTGTAACTTTTTTAACTTTTGTGGTTCTTACTTCTATATAGAAAACTCTAAATAGAGAGTCTAGTTCCTCGCCGCCATAATCTTGAAACTCGATAAATTGTCCCATTTCTTTCAGTCATCCTAGAGGGACAACAAATATGGACTAGATTCACTAGCAGCTATATATGCCTATTTTTTCCTTATAAAAAAAAGTATCAAATATCGCAGAACAAAGTTTTGTTTTTCATTCCCTAATATCGTCCCTTAATCCCAAAATGTTTTTTTGTCAGAAACCTTGTACTTAAAATTAGAACAGCCGTCGTCAAGTAGGCTGAAATGTTGACAAGAATCAGAAAAAATGCGATTTTATTGCAAATTTCTCGAAAATTTAAAGTTGCCGCATTTATTAACCAAAACCATATTTTCAAAATAAAATATTAATAAGCAAATCTTAAAATAAATGCCCAATTTTATTTGGTTAAAGGCTGCGGCCACATTAAATTGTTTAAAAATAGGTGTAAAATTTCGACGTGTTTACGTTTCAAACTTAGTTTACTAAGTTATTTCCCCTTTTTGAGGGGTCCGACGATTTACAAGATCGGGCAGGATCGGACGACGATTTATTTGATCGGAGCAGGATCGGTCTATTTATGGTCGATTATACCATTAATTTAAGATTCAACGGAAATGGACCAAACAAAACCACAAACCCTTCTTCTTGAATATAAATGTATCTTGCGCATGGTTGCTCTTTTACATGGACTCAAGACCGGATTTCTTACCCAAACAATATGATACATTTACAACCTGATCTCATACTGAATTTGATTAAATACTTAATGATTAGAATTTTGCTATTTGATTTTGTAAAAGAATCTATTTCAGATGTAACTACAAGCATCATGTAGCCTACAGTAAAATCTCAAAACAAAGATATACATGAACTTGCAAATCAAATATTGGCGATATTATTGGTCATCCGCATAGGGATAAGTAACAGACATCGATCTGCCGTCCATATTGGGATATTTTGGACCTCTATCTTTTATTTTCCTTCATCTTTCTTTACTTAGCTGTTGCAATGATGCAAAACTCGAAACAAACATAGTTTATAGATTTTTAGGTCACCTGAGCTTTGCTCAAGTGACCTATTCTAATCGCTCTCCGTCCGTCGTCGTCCGTCGTTCGTCGTGCGTCGTGCGTAAACTTTTACATTTTCAACTTCTTCTCAAGAACCAGTGGATGGATTTTTTTCAAACTTGGTCAGAATCATCCTTGGTAGATGAGGCTACAAAGTTGTAAAATTGGGATTCCTACCCCAATCCCTGGGGCCAGGGCGGGGCCCCAAAGGGGAAATTAACCAATAATTCAAAAATCTTCTTCTTCAGACTCAGAGGTACTACATTCATTTTCTCTACATGGAACGAAAATCTTCAAGGGCTTTATTTAAATCGTAAATTTCAGAACCCCCGAGCGATCCGTTCTCCCTTGGGGAGGGGGTAAAGTTTACTATAGTTTATATAGGGAAATAACACTTTTGGGTATATATTTACCCATTTTCAGCAGAAAATTACTCAAACTTAGTAAGAATCATCTTTGATGAATGAGAGTATTACTTTGTAAAATTGGGATTCCTACCCCATCCCCAGGGGCTAGGGCGGGGCCCCAAAGGGAACATTTACCAATATTTTCAAATTCTTATCCTTTGATGACATGACAAGTATTTTATTTCACTTAGTTTACATGCTGATTTCCACATCACATCGAAACAATAAAATAAAGCTACCAGTACCTATGATATAACTCAGGTGACCGCTAAGGCCCTTGGGCCTCTTGTTTTCTTTCCAGTTGTAATCACTCCAGTCCCTTTTTTTAGGGACATTACTTTTTAACTGAAATATTCAGATTTGTAAATCAGTCTGTTTAAAAGGTATCATGACGTTTCAAGCTAGGCAATCGTAACAATTTCAATGAAGACAGTCATCAGAGGATTATAAGACTTATCTGTTTCTTTTTTTTTTTATATATGAACTGACAACAAAATGAATGGCCTTCAATAAGTTGAGATCATGCGTGATGGACATCTAAGACTTTTGCCGTTTTTGCCGAGAGTGCCCGCTATTATCAACAAATTGTCAATATAAGGATTGAATACTGTTCTCTTGGGGTTTGAGGAGTAAAACTCAATGGGTCATGAGACTTTGAAATATACTTATATCCTGTATAACTATTTATCACATACCTGTTGAATCTTGTTATAGTAATACAAACAATTTTCAAACCATGAAATACAACGTTCTGTATTGCACATGTGCAATACGGATGGTGTATTTACCTTCTAGCCGGAACTACTTTTTATGGGAATCCCCTTGTCATAGCGAACTGAAAAGTTACCAGTATTTGCAGAAAATATCAAAGTTTATAAAATCTTTGTATCGACTAATTTATTGCGCGGACGTATATATTAACTCGTGAATATATTCGTCCGCGCAATAAACTCGTGCTTTCTGATTCGTTAGAAAAACACAAGTTTGTGGTCTTGCATATATACTGTATGCGTGTCAGAAACGATTATATATACTTAATACAGTGCAATTACAATGATGTTACTATTTACAATACAAGTACAATGATATTGTAACGAACGTTACCTACCCACTCGGCCCCACGAAGGGCGCCAATTGTAACGAACGTTACCTACCCACTCGGCCCCACGAAGGGCGCCAATTGTAACGAACGTTACCTACTCACTCGGGCCCCACGAAGGGCGCCAATTGTAACAAACGTTACCTTCTTACTCGGGCCCGACGAAGGTCGCCAATTGTAACGAATGTTAACTACTCACTCGGGCCCCACGAAGGGCGCCAATTGTAACGAACATTACCTACTCACTCGGGCCCCACGAAGGGCGCCAATTGTAACGAACGTTACCTACTCACTCGGGCCCCGCGAAGGGCGCCAATTGTAACGAACATTACCTACTCACTCGGGCCCCACGAAGGTCGCCAATTGTAACGAACGTTACCTACTCACTCGGGCCCCGCGAAGGGCGCCAATTGTAACGAACATTACCTACTCACTCGGGCCCCACGAAGGTCGCCAATTGTAACGAACGTTACCTACTCACTCGGGCCCCGCGAAGGGCGCCAATTGTAACGAACATTACCTACTCACTCGGGCCCCACGAAGGTCGCCAATTGTAACGAACGTTACCTACTCACTCGGGCCCCGCGAAGGGCGCCAATTGTAACGAACATTACCTACTCACTCGGGCCCCACGAAGGTCGCCAATTGTAACGAACGTTACCTACTCACTCGGGCCCCGCGAAGGGCGCCAATTGTAACGAACATTACCTACTCACTCGGGCCCCACGAAGGTCGCCAATTGTAACGAACGTTACCTACTCACTTGGGCCCCGCGAAGGGCGCCAATTGTAACGAACATTACCTACTCACTCGGGCCCCACGAAGGTCGCCAATTGTAACGAACGTTACCTACTCACTCGGGCCCCGCGAAGGGCGCCAATTGTAACGAACATTACCTACTCACTCGGGCCCCACGAAGGTCGCCAATTGTAACGAACGTTACCTACTCACTCGGGCCCCGCGAAGGGCGCCAATTGTAACGAACATTACCTACTCACTCGGGCCCCACGAAGGTCGCCAATTGTAACGAACGTTACCTACTCACTCGGGCCCCGCGAAGGGCGCCAATTGTAACGAACGTTACCTACTCACTCGGGCCCCACGAAGGTCGCCAATTGTAACGAACGTTACCTACTCACTCGGGCCCCACGAAGGGCGCCAATTGTAACGAACGTTACCTACTCACTCGGGCCCCACGAAGGGCGCCAATTGTAACGAACGTTACCTACTCACTCGGGCCCCACGAAGGGCGCCAATTGTAACGAACGTTACCTACTCACTCGGGCCCCACGAAGGGCGCCAATTGTAACGAACGTTACCTACTCACTCGGGCCCCACGAAGGGCGCCAATTGTAACGAACGTTACCTACTCACTCGGGCCCCACGAAGGTCGCCAATTGTAACGAATGTTAACTACTCACTCGGGCCCCACGAAGGGCGCCAATTGTAACGAACGTTACCTACTCACTCGGGCCCCACGAAGGTCGCCAATTGTAACGAACGTTACCTACTCACTCGGGCCCCACGAAGGGCGCCAATTGTAACGAACGTTACCTACTCACTCGGGCCCCACGAAGGGCGCCAATTGTAACGAACGTTACCTACTCACTCGGGCCCCACGAAGGGCGCCAATTGTAACGAACGTTACCTACTCACTCGGGCCCCACGAAGGGCGCCAATTGTAACGAACGTTACCTACTCACTCGGGCCCCACGAAGGGCGCCAATTGTAACAAACGTTACCTTCTTACTCGGGCCCCACGAAGGTCGCCAATTGTAACGAATGTTAACTACTCACTTGGGCCCCACGAAGGGCGCCAATTGTAACGAACATTACCTACTCACTCGGGCCCCACGAAGGGTGCCAATTGTAACGTACGTTACCTTCTCACTCGGGCCCCACGAAGGGTGCCAAATGTAACGAACATTACCTTCTCACTCGGGCCCCACGAAGGGCGCCAATTGTGACGAAAGTTAACTACTCACTAGGGTTCGACTTCCGCTTGTAAATTATATGGTTTTAAACGAAAAAAGAGATAATAAATGAAGCAGAAATTGGTGACAAAAACAACTTCAGCAGTCTGAAGTATTTCAAACTTAACAAAGCACATGACAGCAAATGGATTCCTCAAATTCACACCGAAATTCGGCAAAACAATTGACAAAAAACTACCTTCACTATAATTCCTGCGCTTTTTACGACCTATATATGTAGCTATATAAATTGGAACGAATCCTAAAGCCTTCCCCGAGGTAAAGATGACACGTGGTCGGGAACATACGGCTTTCACTTCCACTCAAACGCTTACCCGCTAAACCTTTCTATCTTCCCAGCATTTCTTTACGTGAGCAAGATGAGC